ATAGACTTCCATTGTTTTGCCGATCTATTTGGAAAACATACAGTTAACCAACTGTTGGGAAGTTGCCCCAGCGTTCTTCAAGCCGAAGGGCATGACCTTGTAACAATACAATCCCCGATCTGTAATGAACGAGGTATGCTCTTCATCTGACGCGTACATCAGGATTTAATTATATCCTAAGTAGGCATCCATAAAGCTCAGTAACTCATGCCCAGAAGTGGCGTCAACGAGCTGGTCGATCCTTGGCAAGGGAAAGCTATCCTTCGGACAAGCTTTATTGAGGTCGGTGAAGTTGACGCAAGTCCGCCATTTGTCGTTGGGTTTCTTTACTAAGACCGGGTTGGCAACCCAGCTCGGGTAAAGTGCCTCTCAAATGGACCCGATCAAGAGGAGCTTATCCACCTCACTTTTCAGGGCGGCATAGCGTTCAGGGTCCATTGCTCTTCTCTTCTGGTGGACTGGCTTGACTGAACTATCAATGTTTAGGGCATGGCATATTATGTTCAGGTTGATCCCGACCATATCAGTGTGGATCCATGCAAAAACATCAACATTTTTTCTGGGGAAGCTCGTCAGGTTTTCAGTGAGCTGCGAGTTGAGATTACTCCCAATTCTTAACACTTTGGTCGACTCGCATTCATCGACTGACACCTCAGACATGTCCTTAACTGGCCTGCTATGAGAACAGTCCTAGATGCGAGGATCCATGTTATCCTCGACTGATCCAGGTCATGGCCCGATCCTATTGATTGCCATGGCGTGTTTGGGGGCACCCACTGGCTTCCCATTTCCCTTGCACGCCATCTAGACTACCCTTATGTAGCATTCGGAGATTCTCGTTGGGATCTTTACACTTCTCTGATCCCCGTTGGGGTGGGAAACTTTATTTTCAAATGGTAGATAGAGGTGACAACCTTGAAATTTCATAGTAGAGGTTGTCCCAAGATGTCGTTGAAGGCGGACGGACAATCTACCACCAAGAACTCTGTCACCTTTGTCACTTCATTGGTTTCTCCCAACGTGATGGGAAGTGCAATCGTTCCCTTGGGAATCAGGTGATTCTTGGTAAAACCGTAGAGGGGGAAGGAGGCATGCTTCAGGTCTACCTCGTCCAGTTGCATTCTTTCGAGGCTTGCTGGAACAGGATATTCACAGCGCTCCTATTATCGACCAGCATTCTGTGGACCTCACACTAGCCTATTTCAGGTGCGATGATGAGTGCATCGTCGTGGGGATGATGTAATCACATTGCGTCTTTTTCAGAGAAGGTAATTTCTTCTTCCTTGCGGATCTTAGCAGGTCGTAGCTCCGTGCTCATTACACTCAAGGGGTCATGGCGAGCTTCTCGGGCATACCTTTCTTGGGCACCTTGAGAGTTCCCCGCAAGGTAGGACCCTCCGAAAATGATCCCTACACAGTAAAGCCCCTTGTGACCATGGCGTCTTTTCCCCTATTCCTCTAGATCTTTTTCCCGAATAGGAGTCGGACCGTCAACATACTCCTTGAAGTGTCCCTGTTTGATAAAGTCTTTGATTACTTGCTTGAGAGCCCGACATTCATCAGTGTGATGTCCATTGTCCTGGTGATAGCGACAGTACTTTTTGCTATTCCTGGCTGACTCTTGTCACAATTCTCCGATAGTACTTCATAGGCTCCAGTTCTTCGAGCAGGCTAGCCTCCTCTGATTTATCTAGAATTGTTGATACTAAGGCATTCAAATGAGTGTACTGACTTTTGTCGCGATCGCGACAAGGAACTGGGCGTAAGATTTTTTGGGCTCGAATCACTGTTTCTTCCCTTTTCGTTGATCGTCATTAGCCTAACTGCGATCAGCCCTTCTACTCTTCTTCCCCTGACTGGGAGCACTTGTTGACGGACTGGGGTTGTGGCGATTGAGAGCAACCACAAAATTTTCTATTCGGAGATACTTTTCGGTGAGGTTGTAGAAACGATAAGGGAAACGTCATCCTCTGACTGTAGCTCTTTCCATAAGTCAATCTGGGGGCGAACCCCTATGATAATGAGAGTTCAGACGGGCTCTTCAAGAGTGTGAGCCACTTTGTGGAGTTCGCGGTGAAACCTATCTATATAAGATTAGAAGGACTTATCCCTTTCCTGTTGTATATTGCTCAGATAGCTCAGCGGCATTGAGAACTTCCTGTTTTCCTAGAAGTGCCTTAAGAATAACGAGCTCATTTGTTGCCATGAGCTTATTGTCCCTGCGGGGAGCGACCTGAACCAGCGCTTGGCATGGGCGGTTAATGTCACTGCTTAGCAGTAACATTTGGCCAAGTTGGAGACTTGGTAGAGTTCCATAAGGTAATTGAACTTGTAGAGGTGGTCCTGCGGATTAGAAATTCTATCAAATGCCCGCATGTTGGGCATCCTGAATCTCGACAAGAGAGGAGCAGCTAGTGCTGCAGGAGAGAAATGAGACGCTTCAGCAACTTTACCTTGTTCGTTCTACTGAGCCTTGAGCTGATCCAATTGTCATTGCAACTTCTCGATCTAAGATAGCAAAGCTATCAGGAGATTACTTTCTGTAACATGGGTTCGATCCTCATAGTTGCGATTGAGGAAGGACTGAATGTCGGGCCCTTCCGCTACTCGGCCAAAAGCTCTGGTATGCCCTGACACGCACTGGCTAGAGTCATGTGAGGGTAACAAATGGCTCGGGAAATTTTCCTGACCATCGCAATGGTTAGAACCGACCCACAGACAGGGTTCCCCTAACGGCGGTGGTTGGAACCATTACCTTGAGGAGGCTGGGAGTTCCCCCGGCTTGCACTTTTACGGGTGTACCCATACGACATGGCGTGGGATGGCTCAGGCTATGAAATGTCACCAAGTCGCAATGCCACAGGTATTCTACCCGCTGCGAGACCTATGTTCGCTAGCCCCTCGGAGCCTCATAGTTCACTGGTCGCCACTTGTTTCCCCTTACTTTTGGTGGTGCACATACCTGGAAAGGTAATACGTTACAATTTCAACGATAGGAGTTTCAAGAAGATTTATGATTTTGTTACAAATGAATTTGAATTTGAGAGTCCTTTTGATGAAGGTTATATAACTGGAGTCGAATTTGCACGAATCAATGCTTTTCAACACAGAAAGTCTTGCATGCGTTTGATGATATTTCTGTTCATAAGTATGCCACTCTCAGGTCTTAAATTTCAATATATATGTTCATGATGATGACTAATACAGATTATTATTATGACTCAATTCTTCTAGGTCAATTAGAAAGCAGTTTGCTTTGATTCGCTTAGTTCCTTGGCTTGCAACTTCTAGTTGAGCAGTTTAAATTTCAATTACAGAACAGGTCCAGCTAATAAACATCAAGTTGGTTTCTCAGAATGCTGTGTTCATCTCAATATTTTATTGGATGTGTGATGGTGATATTAGGACGTATGGTTTTGCTGTATGCTGTCACAATGTTAGCCTACACATCTCTAAATATTGCCATTGCTTCTGTGGGAACATTGCATAATATTTTATTGTGATTATAAAAACCCTGTTGAATCCCAGCAGTCTTTTGAACTATATAAAACGCGAAGGTCATTAAACAAATTAATAATGTTGCTAAGCAAAATTTGCAATTATTATTGTTTTAAGTTTTAATACCACAATCTAACTCACTATTCGAAATTCCTAAACAGAACATTAACAACCATTTTGCACCCCAGCATTATTTGAGTTGGTTGGTATTGCCTGCGGGATTCCCACATGGGGATAGCTTCTCTAATCTCTAATGGCATTATGATCTAACTATGGCATGTCTTTTTTTTCTGGTATTGGTTAATAATTACAGATGTTTATGTTCAATTTGATTCATGATGCACTTCTCATGGCATTAGAGGAAGCATTTTAACCTCAGGAATATCGTTTCTTGTTACTGAAGTCAGAAGTTGTCATGAGAAATTAATGTTTGAAAAACACTCATTAAACAAGATTATGCTTCAAAGTAGTGAGTTTCTTTGCAATATTGTTATTTTAAATAAGAGCATCAATATTTTCTGCGGAATCTGGTGATGGGTTTCCTTCGCCTGAAGCCATATTTAAGAATTTTATTTTGTATCTTGCCTCTAATTATATTCTATAAGCTCTATTGTACAAAGCTTTTATAAGCCATGAGTTCTTTTTCGAGAAGCCCTGCCAAATATGGTATAATATATTGCCTCTATATATAACTATGTGACTCTTTTAAAATATAAATTTTAACTATTATAAAGTATAATATATTGAAAAGTTTGGATTGTATATTCAAGTAGAGATCAGTAATGATACGATAATTTTTTTTTTTTTTTTTAATTTTAACCTCATCGATGGCAAATTAAGTTTAAAAACTAAATATTCAAACAAATTAGAAAATAATCAAAAAGTAAATTTAATTATTTTCCCAAAAGAAAATTGAGTAATAAAACTATAAATGTTATAATTTGTACAATGAACTATAAATAATTATTTAAAATAAACTAGATAAAAAGAAAAAGAAATATGAATTCAATTATTTTTAACAAAATAAATTATAATTAAAATATATATTATAATAACAAAATCCATTACACTTTTACACAGCTAATTCTGAACGTTGCTTCTCTAATGCGGCTAATGCCATTCAACTTTTACTTGGTCGCTATGTTTTTGTAAGAGGTAAGGTAACCCTGATCAGAAAAAAGTAGAATATTGACCCTTGACAGCTGAAATGATTTGGTAGAGGAGGATTGTTCGGTTTTATATATGAATCTCGACAAAATATAAAAGAAAACGTTGACCAAAGATTCGCTTTCCGTTGTTTTGTGAAATTTCTTGCTGCCCAAACTTTCTGACACGCCCAGGTGAAGAACAAAGCCATAAGAATCTTTTCCACTCTTCCACAAATGAAAACCAGGCTGAAGTTGTACAACATAACCTCTGAATTCGGCTACTCTTTTTCCACCATGAAAACAAGCTCAGTCTCAACTATCACCACCTCCTTCTCTTCCCAACACCAAGCATCAATGTCAGCAGAAATAATTGCAAACAATGATGATCTTTTAACGGAAATACTTCTTTGCCTTCCACTCAAATCTTTGGTGAAATTCAAATCTGTATCCAAACACTGGCTGTCCCTCATCTCCAATCCCAACTTTTCACTCCGCTTCAGCCTTATCCCTCAACCCATCACTGGCCTCTTTATGCGCGGCCTTAGCTGTAAAGAATATTATTTCATCAATCTTAGCTCTAGTCCTTCTCCCGCTCCCTTTAAATATCTCACTTTGGGTAATAACCCATCAGATTTCGAGATCACCATCAGGCAATCTTGCAATGGTCTATTATTATGTAGCAGGTCTAATAGCAAAAAACCCGATGACCACTATGTTTACAACCCCACCACACAGGAATACACTATGCTTCCTCCACCCCCTCTTGATACTGGAGTCTGTTATTTTGGTTTTAATTTAGCATTTGATCCTTTAAAATCACCCCATTACACAATCATTTGTGTGAAAAATTGTAATAATTTTGAAGATGACAGTTATCAGATAGATATTTTCTCATCGAAAAAGCGGACATGGAGACTATCAAGAGCTACTTTCATTGTTTCATATTATGCAAGTTTCACGGATGGTGTCTATTGGAACGGTTACATTCACTGGATTAATGAGCAGGACCCGTCTTTACATTTCAACATTGATAAAGAGGAAGTACAAGAAATGCCCGTGCCTCCTATTCCTGATGGACAATACTGGAGGAGTTTTTATTACTTGGGAGTTTCTCGAGACCATTTGCATCTTATTGAGAATTATGCTCCCTGTGCTGCTCTGTTTAATGTTTATGAAATGGAGAATGATTACTCTGGGTGGTTCATAAAGTATCGCGTTGACCTTCGTCAAGCTGCAACAACATTTCCTGAGATGATTAGGAGCCATATTAATCCAGAGCACATTCAACACTATAAAATTTCGACAATATATGTTGTGAGGGAAGAAAATGAGGAGGAATCTTATTTGGTGGTGCACATACCTGGAAAGGTATTACGTTACAATTTCAACGATAAGAGTTTCAAGAAGATTTATGATTTTGTTAAAAATGAATTTGAATGTGAGAGTCCTTTTGGTGAAGCTTATGTAACTGCAGTCGAATTTGCACGAATCCGTGCTTTTCAACACAGAGAAAGTCTTGCTTGGGTTTAACGACGTTGCTGCTCATAAGCCTGCAACTCTTACCTAGTGAATTCAGATCTAGAATTTCAATATATATGTTCATGATGATGAATAATGCAGATTTTTATTTATAACTCAATTCTTATTAAACATCAAAGTATCTCAGAATGCTGTGTTCATCTTCAAAATTTATTTGATGTGTGATAGGAACGGATAGAAAATGGGTTAGGTAGTGGGCTTTTGATAATAATTGGGCTGGACAATAGTCTTTCATGGGCTTGGGTTCTCTTTGGAAAATTGGCTTACCAAGCCTTTATCAAGCCTTTATAAACCTCATGTGGGATCCTAATAATGTGTCATTGTAATATTAGGACGATTGGTTTAATCAATAGTGCTGCTGTCAAAATGATAGCCTACACATCCCTAAATATTGTCATTGCTCCTGCGGGAGCATTTTGCAAAATATTTTTACCGTAATTGTAAAAACCCTATTGAATCCCAGCTGTCTCTTCAGAGTTGAACTACATAAAACATCGATTCCTTATGAAAATAGTTGGATGAAGCTCATTACACAAATCATATGGTTGCTAAGCAAAATTTGCAATTAATTATTGTTTTAACACCAACACTCTTAACTCACGAAATTCCTAAACAGAACAAATGTAACAAGTAAAATAAGGGATTTATCATTTTGACTTCCATTTTGCACCCCATCATTATTTGAGCCGGTTCGTATTGCCGACGGGATTCCCACACAGCGTGTCTTTTTTTCTTGTATTGGTTAATAATTCAAAATGTTTATATTCAATACGAATCATGTTGTGCGGTCAATCAGGAAAAGATAATTCCCTATTAAGAGAGAAGATGTTTAAATTTGCTCAATTTGGAAGGAAGATATTCAGATTGACTTAGACTCCAACTAAGGTAGCCGAAGATCATGCAATTTCCTAATTCTACGTATTTGAATCTTATTTCAACTCTATCATGTAAATGGGTGTTATATAAACTTATCATAACTTGTTTGTAGGAGAGCTGAGCAATTGTTGTGAGCAAATTTTCCTAGAAATTATACTGTTCTTTGTAAGCTCTCAAAAATAATAAGATAATAGTGGACGTTGGCTCAAGTTCTAACTTACTGAACCACTTCAAAAATTGTCTTGTATTCTTATTTATGATTCTTTATTTTTTGTTCATTGCTAATATTCATTAAATCACGCACAAGATTTTGAGGGCATTGTTCTGTTGCAAAAAATCTAAGTGTGGCAATTTGTCGAACACTTGGAGTAGGAAAGTTAACCAAGAATCTTAAGATTAGAACAATTATGTCCTAACCTAAATGATTATAAAATATTAACAATATAAAAAGTAACGATCAAAACAAACAAAACAAATCGACACAGTGACATACATGATTCGGCTAAATGACTTACATCAACGAGCGATAATGATGGTTTAATGATTTGACTATATGAAGAATAAGACACTTTGACACTTATAATAGTCAACTATACAAATTTTCACTCAATCTCAAGCCAAATTCAATGTTTGAGGCTTATCCATCCAAGTCTTCCAAGAGCACAAACCCTAATCTCTCCACATATAAGCTCTCAAAGTCAGTCTACACTTAAATCTCTCTTGACTTTACTTAAACAATTAAACAAACAATATTTATGAAGAAATTATAAGGACAAAGACAATTTTTCCTTTAAAGATAAATTTGACTAAGTTTGAACCAATAAAAAACATGTTCATCTTCAGATTTATTCTATATATATAAGATGAAGTACGTTTCCAGCAAGCAAGATTTTTGTAGAGAATTGACTTGTTCAACTTAATTAAGGTTCTATCTTATGTTGCATTTAGGAAGCAATATCTAAACCGAATCTACAAAACTTAAATAAGAAAGCATTATATTCCCAGTCAATTACAGAAGGTAGAAGTCCTCCTCGTAATACTGGAAAAAGAGTAATCGACATGTTCTCACCCAAGGTTCCAGCTGCCCTGAATTGAGATCAAAGTTGAATAAGCAAAGCATTCCCTCAATTTGGTCAAAGTTGATTAAGAGGCCGACAAAACACGCCTGCCATCTTTGAAGGTGAGTGATTATTTAGAAAAAACCACCAACTTTGAAACTCATGAAACAGATGATGCAGCAAAGTAATAACGAGTTCGCAATGTTTAATTTTTAATAAGAGAGAGTTAATTATTTGCAGTAGCTAGCATCCGATGAAGACATAATAAAGAACTTCGACAGTTTCAGTTTTATTCATTATCTTGCATCAGCATCTGTACATTAATTAATCAGCAACTTGTTTTGGTCAATATACTATGGCGATTGTTAAATAGTTGACGTTGATTTATTTGAAAGAAAATGGAAGCTCAACTGCTCATTAAAGAATTTGATAGAGGACTGGTCAGTTTCGTGATTTTGTCGTAAGAAAACAACTTTAAAAAATTCTATTAAAATAAAAAATAAAAAAAAAAAAAGAATCCTTGACCAAATACGTGCTTTGGGTTGTTGTGTGAACTTAGGTGCTGCAGAATCTTTCATCTAGATAAAGATAAAGAAGGAAGCTATATATAAAGTGAATTTCCATTTCTCCTTCAAATTAACAGAGCTTGAATTTTCCCATGGCCATCTTCTCCACCATGCGCTCAATTAAAACAAAATCAGACATAACCATCACCGCCTCCTCTTCTTTCCGTTTCCGAACATCATCATCAGTTGAAACAGTTGCAAACAATGACGATCTTTTAACGGAAATACTTCATCGCCTTCCGATCAAATCGTTGCTGAAATTCAAGTCTGTATCAAAACATTGGCTGTCCCTTATATCGGATCCTTACTTTCTACTCCGCCTAAGCCCTGTCCCTCAACCCATCACTGGCCTCTTTATGCGTGGCCTCGGCAGTCCAGAATATTATTTCATCAATCTTGGTTCCAGTCCTTCTCCTGCTCCCTTCAAATCTCTCACTTTTGGAAACAACCCATCATCAGATTCAGGGATCACTATCGAGCAATCATGCAATGGTCTATTATTATGCAGTTGTATTAAAGGAAGTGCGGGTCGCCCCGACTATTATGTTTACAACCCCACCACACACCAATACACTATGCTTCCTCCACCCCTTGTTGATAGTAGAAACTCTGGTTTTAATTTAGCATTTGATCCTTCAAAATCACCCCACTACGAAGTCATTTATGTACAAAATTGTCAAAATTTCGAAGATGAAAGTTATAGGATAGAGATTTTCTCATCAAAAACGGGGACATGGAGACTATCTAAAGCTACATACAATGTTCCGGTTTATTTAAGTTACACATTTTATCAGAGTCTAACGAATGGTGTGTTTTGGAAGGGTTCCATATACTGGATTAATGAGCGGTTATGTTTCAACATTGATGAAGAGAAAATGCAGGAAATGCCATTGCTCCCTGCTGTTGAGGGATGGGGCGTGAGGTGCTTCTATTACTTGGGAATTTCTCGAGGCCATTTGCATCTTATTGAGAATTATGGTCCTGCTTTGTTTAATGTTTATGAAATGGAGAATGACTGCTCTGGATGGTTCGTAAAGTATCGCGTTGATCTTCGTCAAGTTGCAACAACATTTCCTGAGATGATTAGGAGCCAAGCTGATCCAGAAGGCTACAACTACTATAAAATTTCGACAATATGTGTTGTAAGGGAAGAAAATGAGGACGATTCATGTTTGGTGGTGCACATACCTGGGAAGGTAATACGTTACAATTTCAAGAATAGGAGTTTCAAGAAGATTTATGATTTTGTTCCAAGTGAATTTGAATTTCAGTGTGATTTTGGAGATGGACGGTACATAACTGGAATCGAATTCGCACGGTTGTATGCTTTTCAATACATAGAAAGTCTTGCTTGTGTTTAGTGATCGTTTCTGCTCAACATATATATATATTCTGCTTTAAAGTGCATAGCCCAATGGCTTCTAAGTTCTTGTCGAGCATCCCAAAATGCTGTCATTGCTTCTGTGGGAACACTCGAAAAATGTTATAGTGTAAATCGAAAAGCCCTTTTGATTTTTGAATCCCACTCAGCTGCCTGGTCAAAGTCGAAGAATATAAAAAATTAATTATTGTTTTAGCATCACAATTTATACCAAATTCTACAATAAAATAAAAGGAAAAATACAGAAGAAGAGATTTATCATAGTAAAAAAGAGATTCACACTATCGACTTTGAATTATAAACTTCCGTTTTCCACCAACTCCCTTCATTATTTCAGTTGGTTGGTATTGGGGAATACCCATGGGTAGACGCTTCCTCATCCCATCCCTGTTTCTCCATTTAAAAGTATCAAATTATCTTAGAAAATGAATATTGTTATGGTTGACCCAAACTGACAGGGATAAAAAAAGTGGAAGCTTCGACAGCTCAAAACGGATTAGATAGAGGACTGGTAAGTACATCAGTAAACAGTTTTGAAGAATCATGTGAAACTGCAAATGAGGAGAAAATTTTTAAAAAAAAAAAAAAAAAAAAAAAATTGACCAAAGACTTGCTTTGGGTTGATCTGTGAACTTGATGCAGAAGAATAAAGCTACAAGTAAATTTCAATTCTCCAGAGAATTAACGAAGCCTGAGATGGTTAGAAGCCATCTTGATGCAGAGGACTTCAACTACTATAAATTTTCGACAGTATGCGTTGTCAGGGAAGAAAATGAGGAGGAATCATTTTTGGTGGTGCACTTACCTGGAAAGATAATACATTACAATTTCGAGAAAAAGAGTTTCAAGAAGATTTATGATTTTGTTCCAAGTGAATGTGAAATTGAGTGTGATTCTGGAGATGGAAGTTACGCTGATAGTAGCACATAGAAAGTCTTGCTTCTGTTTAATGGTGTTTCTGAGGTAATTACGTAATTTGCTATTCTTCTCTTGTGAATTTAGGTAATGAATCTCAACATGTAATACTTGTAGCATCTCATATTGGGGAAAATTCCTTCATGGGGATAGCTTCTCTACTGGCATTTTGATCTGTCCATTCAGCCGCGTGTATTTTTAGTCCTTTCTCAATTCAGTTTACTCCGCCTAAACCTTTTCCCTAAATCCTTCACTGGTCTCTTTATCCGTCACCTTGGCCGTCCAGTATATTATTTCATCAATCTTAGTTCTAGTCCTTCTCCTGCTCCCTTTAAATCTCTCACTTTTGAAAACGACTCATCAGATTCAGGGATCAATATCCAGCAATCTTGCAATGGTCTATTAAATTAGATGATGAATTTTGTCTACTCATTTCTGAAAATGAATTTTAGCACCCCATAACTTAAAAGGTTTATAATTCAAAAACTTACATAACAGTAAATGATTTGTCTTATTTTTTTATAAAATAAGAATTTTTATTCTTGATAATTCAATCCAATAATTGGGATTTTACATATGACAATAAATTTTGATTTAAATTACAATTTTAAATCCGTAATAATTTAACAAATCGAAAATATACATTTGGTTCAAAAAATACAAATGGCCGAAAACTAAAATTATTATTTTCAATAAATCTTATACTGTATATATTAAGATGTGAGAGCCAGTTCTTAGAGAAAAATAATTAAGATTTTGTAATGAATAAAGACATGAAGACAGTCACAACATATAAAATAATAAAGAACAGAAAATTCATTAATTACAAATTTGAAAGTCAAAGGTATAATTAATTAAACCCCCCAAGATTTGGCTAATCTAAAACCCCCTCAGGTACTAGTATCAACGTAGAACCCCCTGTTATTTGTCAGAGGATAATAAATTCCTGTTAAAGGTGTCAGATGAGAGGTAAAACAGTTATAACATAAGCTCGAGAGGGTTTTCAAGTTTGGACAAACCTTTGGGGTGGGATTTGGCGGGGGCAGAAATTTAGGGTCAAGGGGTGTTTAGTCTTTGCAACGGTGTGAGTTATCGATTTTGTTAAAGTCTAGGGACAACAAAGGATTTTGCATCGTTACGACTTACGAGTATCTATTATCTAAGGGGGTCTTTTTAGTAACTCTAAATATGGAGCAATAGGATCAAATGTAGTAGTGTACTCACAACTTATAGTATTCTTCATAAGAATTCTATTTAAGGTTAATTTTGTCAAAAGCAAGACTAATGAAGTAGTCATTGTCTCCTTGCTCAATATTGGCGGTTTTCATAGTCTTAATAATGGTTTTCAAAGTCTTATTATTCTTACAAAGCTTTGTATACCAAGTTAAGTATTTAAAGTGACAGTGTTATTACCCATTTACTGACATCATTAATTTTTATTTAATAAATTGATTTTATATTTTCACAACCCAATGACATATTACTTTGTAAGAGTAGTATTTTTTTTATAAAAATAAATTAATAAAAGAAAAGAGAGAGGCAAATGAGAATAAAAGGCATAATTATTGCCTGTATTTTAAGAGTACCTTAAGGGTCCGTTTATGACATGATTTAAAAATAGTTTTAAAAAATGAGGATCAAATATTATAAATATAGAAATAGGTTTGATATATTATTCAAAAAATTTGAAAATATATTTGGTGTAGTATCCTGAAATATTAAAAATATGAATATTTGTTTGTTTAACATGTCTTACTTATAATCATAATCATAAAATATTTCTAAAAAATATAAAACATGATTCAGCACTGAAGCATTGGTGTAATTAAAAATAAAATTCGATGTTATAATAAGTGTATTGTATATATCATAATTGACCATATTGTATTAGTAAGAATATAATCTTTGGCTTCTTAGTCAGTATTTAGATATATGATTATATCATATTTTAGAATGCTTAATCTTTTGTTGAAATTTAAAAGAAACAGACATTCTCTTCATTACAATAATATAATTTACTGGCGTTACAATAGTTCGATTACAGGAGCTGTTTCCTTCAACTTTCTAAATTCTAAGTATATCCTGGGCCGGCTGGTTCTAGTTGACCAATTAAACTATATATCAAAAAAATATTGAAAACGCTGAACCTTATCCGAAAATAAAATGGATATAATAAACCTAATGTGTCAAGCAATAAATACTTGTCTTATCACATCAATCTGACCCACTCTATGAAATTCCGGTCAAAACAAACCACCTTCTTTGTATGCTTATGCATGCGGCATGCCTATGGCTTCATTATTTTTATATTTATTTATTACCCAACTACCACACCTCCTCAATTCAATGTAGTCACTCACATTCCAAGAACTATCCAATACGTCCTCTTATTGGTTCTAATTGATTTATTATGTATGGTCTACTTTATTTACTCTTTATAAGATCGATTAATATCGTATTCATCCATTTTGTTATAAAAGTATTAAAAACAACCTTGCTGTCAGTGATATGTCAAGGTTATGGTTCTATCCAATTTTTATATTAAAATTCTATTTAACCTTCCATCACTTACTCACTCAACAAATTTCCTAAATCTTTCACTCAATAAATATCCAAATCCAAAAAATCACTCTGAACTTGCAATTATATTTTCTTAGGGAAGGCTACATTTTCATACAACACATTTAATGAAAAATTAATAATTTTGGTAAAATTAAGTCTTTTCCTTCAAAATAAATTAAAACAAAAATAATAAATTATGTGGAAGCTATTCTACCATTTTCATGTTTTATAAAAACTATAAGGTAGGAGGAATAAAAAAATATTTTTAAATTGGTAAGTGATGGGAAGGGATAAAATAGACTCTTAATTTTAAATTTTAATGGAATCCCAACATATCTCAAGGGGTAAGCGTGTTTTTAAAACTTTCAGAACAAAATGGATGGATTTGATATTAATCATATGGAATAAATTTTATAAATTAACGCCAATAAGATAAGGGGAGTAATTGAAACCCTCCAAACGTAGACTAAAATAGAAACATCGATGGAGGTGTACTGTGAGATGGTAGGCCTTACTAGAATTATTCAAATTGAGGCAGCCGCACGCAGGTTTGGATTTTAACTCGCATTTGAATTTCTACCATTATACGAGTAGAAATGTAGTTAACACGTTAACATCAATATTCTTGAAAATTGATTATAATACGACTGAAAACCAGAAAATTTTTTATATCATATTTATCTCATGGCGATTATTAATTGTTGTTGACCAGGATTTATCGTAAATAAAATGGACTGGTAACAACTCGGCAGCGGTTTTGAATTAGACTTGGTCAGTTTTAATTTTATGAGCAATCATATTGAAAGAATCGTATCCAACTACTTAAATTTGGAAACATTTAAGAACTGGCTTGCTGACTTGCTCCCACCAAACTTGTGATTGACCTATATATAAGTATGCCAAGAGGAAATATTAACCCATTCAATCTCTTCTGAATTCATATTCTCTCAACCAAAACAAACTCACAGAAACCTAAAGCTATGTCGGCCTTCTCTTCCGCAGAAATAATTGCCAACAATGAAGATCTTTTAACTGAGATACTCGTTTGCCTCCCTGTCAAATCTTTGCTCAATTTCAAATCCGTTTCCAAAAACTGGCTGTCCATCATCACCAGTCCCAACTTGTCCCTCCGCCTCGGCCGTCTCCCTAAACCCATTACTGGCCTGCTTATGCGTCGCAACAACGGTCCAGAATATAATTTCATCAACCTTGGTTCCAATACTTCTCGTGCTCCCTTCAAATCTCTCACTTTCGGAAACCTCCCATCTCGGGTTCACATCAAACAATCCTGCAACGGTCTGTTATTGTGCAGTTCTTTGCAAGAAAATGCTCGTCGCCCCGACTATTTTGTGTACAACCCCACCACAAACAAATACACTATGCTTCCTCCAATCCCTAATGACAACGGGGCATTGTGTCGCGATGTTGTCTTAGCATTTGATCCTTCCAAGTCACCTTATTACAAAGTCGTTTGTGTGAAAGATTGCAATCTTTCTGAAAGTTCTTTTCAGATAGAGATTTACTCATCCCAGACTGGGACTTGGAGAGTATGCAATTCTTCTTTTAATTATCCGAATACTCCATTTTTCATGGAGGGTGTTTTCTGGAACAATGCCATTTACTGGTGCAAATCTTGGAGTCCATCTATATATTTTGACATGGATAAAGAGGAAGTCCGAGAAATGCCAATGCCTCCTAATATTAACGGATTGGATGAGAAGTGGAGTTGGTATTTGGGAACATCTCGAGGCCATTTGCATCTCATTGAGATTTACAGCCCTTTCAACACTATATTCAATATCTACGAAATGGAGAAAAGAGAGGATTGCTGCAGGTGGATCGTGAAGTATCAGGTTGATCTTAGTCCGATAGTAACATCATATCCTGAGATGATTAAGAACTTTCAGACGGACTTACATTACTATCTATTTTCGACATTATGTGTTGTAAGGGAAGAAAACGATGAGGAATCGTACTTGGTGGTACATCTACCTGCAAAGGTAATACGTTACAATTTCAAGGATAAGAGTTTCAACAAGATCCATGACTTTGCTCCAAGTCATGATTCTGAACATCAAGGTGGAAATGGACAAGTGACCGATTTTGATTTTGTCGGTACTGCTGCTTTTCAATACATAGAGAGCCTTGCCTCCGTTTGATGATTAAATTTTCAATATAGGGGTTTTTTTATTCTTTTCTTCTTTTGTGATATCAGCAAGTGTATGTTTACTATAAGATGTATAATTAATGTGAATTTACTTCATTCAATTTGAATAATTATAATTCATTTGTTCTTGTTGAACATTTCATTGTTGATTACATATAATATTAATTAGAAAGAACAAATTCGTTTAAAATTTTGCTTATTTTCGTGGCTTGCATGTTATAATTGACCAAGTACTTATGTATATAATATATTAACTAATTACAGAAGAGGGTTGCCTGCCAGTGCCGGCTAACTAAAGTAAAGAAAAAATCAAGCAGGTTTTCCACTAAGAATTTTTGTAGGAGTTGGGTGTTTGTTTTCATCTGAAGATGGATTATGTTAGGAGACAATACTGTGTGTTTTTGTAGTGCTGACGGGGTTCAATCCGGCTGCATATAAATACCTTTAATTATTGATTATTTAGGATAAGTACCGAATAGATTAAAATAATTATTCCATGTTTGAAACTAAGGTGCGCGTAATCAATGACACCTTGTTGCAACTAACAAATTAATCAAGAATAGATGTATGGATTTTGACTAAGTTATATAGGAATGACAAATAAAACTATAGTATTATCAGGACTGATTCATATAAATAGAACCCTGAGTTTGGTTTAAAAATTAGGTTGAGAGAGATCCCCACGTCTACATACAGATATTTTAAATAAAAATGGTACGAGAATCAACAATTGAGAGATCACCTATTGGCTAACAGTTAAGACATCCTTTTTCCACATAACATTTTTAAGCTTCTCGAGGCAAAATTATGTCACTTAATTGACTTTTTAACTTCGCTGAAATTTGATTAATAGGGTAGGACGGTCTTATAGTTGACGATACGGATTGGTAAAGCACAACTGAAACCATTGGTTACTAATTGGACGATTTCGAAACTTGCCCGCTCACAACTCTCATTAGTCAATTTCTTTTTTTTTATACTAAATAATTTTCAAGTTAAAAAATAAAATAAAATATAAATTTTATCAAATACTCGCTTTGTGTTGTTCTGTGTTCGGGTGTATAATTCTGGACATGTTTGGTACACAGTATTGTAATATATTATTTCAATTGCATTTGTATAATATAATATTATAAAGAATGTTATAATGTTTCGTGTTTGGTAAGATGTTATAATGTATATTTTTATATTATATTATGTTTGGTGTATAAATAGTATTGTATAATATTATTTTTGTTTTGTTTTTTAATAAAATATGAGAGAGTTATGTTATTGGCCTCCCACTTTTTATCTTATTAAACCCTAATAACTCTTTTCCTTGATTATAATTTTATCTTTTATTAAAATTACAAAGTTAATGACATAAAAAAATAATTATTTCTTATTTAATTTGAGAATGTTTATATTCTTCACATTTTCGTAAATAATCATTTTCTTTTTTCGTTACTTAATATTATTTTAACGATTATTGAAAACTATTAAAAATGTTTATTAAGACCCTAATAAGAGTTGTATGATTTCTATTGATCCTCCTAGATTTAAAGCTAGGCTTGTAGCAAAAGACTACACCCAAAGGGAAGGGATTGATTTCAATGAAATCTTCTCCCCTGTAGTCAAATATAAAACTATTAGGATCATGCTATCTATAGTTGCACATCTAGACCTAGAACTAGAACTAGAACAGTTAAATGTAAAAACTGCTTTCTTGCATGGTAATCTATATGAAAAAATCTTCATGAAACAGCCTATGGGTTTTATTGACAAAAACTGTCCTAGACATGTTTGCCTGTTACACAAATCCTTGTATGGGCTTAAACAAGCCCTTAGACAATGGTATAAAAGGTTTGACACCTTCATTACCAGTATAGGATTCAAAAGAAGTGAGTATGACAGTTGTTTTTACTATGATTTAAATTCTAGTATGCTTGTGTATTTACTGCTTTATGTAGATGACATGTTGCTAATTAGTAAATCAAAAACCAGAATAAATGACTTGAAGTCTAGGCTGAATTTTGAGTTTGACATGAAGAACTTAGGTAGTGCTAAAAAGATCCTAGGGATAGTCATTGACAAGGAAAAGAGAGGACTGTGAACTAAAACTTCAGCAGTCCTCCTACTTACTGAAACTGATATCCAGATCTAGAATGTCAGATTCCAAGCCAGTATCCATGACTTTAGCTAGCCATTTTACACTGAGTAAGACACAAAGTCCCAAGACTGAATCTGAATTCATTAAGATGGAAAAAATACCTTATGCCAATGTGATAGGATCAATCATGTACGCCATGATTAGCACCAGACCTGACCCATCTTATTCCATTTCACTTCTTAGCCGTTTTATGTCCAATCCAAGTATAGAACACTGGTTAGCATTGAAATGGTTAATGAAATATATTAATAGTACAATATATGTTGGGTTGGAATATAAGAAAAGAGGAAACTCGCTTGATCTTGTGGGATATGTAAACTCTGATTTTGCAGGAGACATGGACACAAGGAAGTCTACCACCTCATACTACTTCACATTGGGAGGAAATTGCATAAGCTGGAAGTCCCAGCTTCAACCCATTGTTGCTCTCTCTTCCATTGAAGCAGAATGCATTGCTATAGCAGATGTCTTCAAAGAAGGATTATGGCTTAAGGGGATTCTATCTGAGGTGGAGTTGATTGATGAGAAGACAGCAGTGTTTTCGGACAGCCAAAGTGCAATTCACTTGAGTAGAAATCCAGTATACCACGAAAGGACGAAGTACATGGATGTTAGATATCATTTCGTGAGGGATTTAGCAGCTAAAGGAATCATAGACATGAAGAAGATATCAACTGAGGACAATCCAGCTGACATGGGCACAAAGGTAGTAGTTGTTACAAAGTTCAAACATCGTTTGAACTTGCTGTTTATAAAATAAGCAGTAAATAACAAAGCTGAGAAGGATTCTTGGGAGGTAGCTGCACTAGAGAGAATTAGACTGAGCATTTTGATTGTTTTTGTTTTTGGAGCTTCAAGGTGGAGAATGTTAGAGTGAAGCACACAAAAAACGTTGTCGCTGTACCTTTAGTGCAACGGTGTCGTTTTAATCATGTTATCACAAGACACAATTCAGACCATTGAAGGATTTTAGCATAGGACGGCCAGGACTTATTCTCCTAAAAACAGAATGGAAAAACGCACTATACCTGCTGCTGCGTTTTATTTTTGTTTGCTAGGTTTTATTTCAATTTTTTATTATTCTGTGAAAAGCATTTGCTCTGTATCGTTTCTTGCTTGGCTGTAATCTTGGTGTGGTTGGTTGTAATCACTTGTAAGGGCTGCGTTTCCCTTTGATTCTTGAGGATCTGTTTATAGAGTTCCCATAAGAAAGATTTCAGGTTGTTGTGAGAGTGAGATACGTTGTTTAAGAGTGGTTTTTGGGTGTAGGATATGTTTGTATCAGATTGGATTAATCTTTAGTGCAGCGAGCTCTTGAGTTTCTGGAGCTCAACGTAGACGTAGTTTATCCTATATAGGATAAGCGAACCACGGTAAAAATCCGTGTCTTTGTTCTTGATTTCTTTTCATTTTTTATTGTGTGTGTTGAGTGTGAAATTGGTGGATTATTAGGTTGCTAGAAGTGCAGATTTTTCTCTACACGGATGAAACTCTAGCGTCACCAATTTGGGCAGCCCTTCAACCTATAGAATTGCCATAAACTCATTCCATAAAATCAAACTTAGTTAAATTTTTATTTTTAGATTATAGTTCTCAATATGGCTTCAGAACCTATATGATCATAAGGTGTGATTAATTCAAATCTTAAACCATTATATTACTGTTTAATTATTTTATAGTAAAACTATAACACAAATAAAATTAACAGGATTGTTTTCCAAGAACTTTTAATTTAGACATTTTGAATATAAATATTGGAAGACAAGATTTATCTTTTAATTTTATTTTTAATAGTTGACGGTTAAGCACAACAATACAATTAGTTAGTAGAGTAATGATATGCTTACTCACGATCTTACTAACTATCTTACTCACGATCTTACTAACTATCTTACTCACGATCTTACTAACCATCTTACTATCTTTTGTTAAAATTACATATGGTACACGTACTATGCTTTATATTTACACAGGATAATAAGATCGTGAGTAAGCATAATATTGTTGTTAGTTAATAATTGGACAAATGGAATTGAGACTGTTTGCAAGAGGTTGGTATAGAAGAAAGACCAGTCTATTAAATATTAAATTATCATATAATAATATACTAAACTTAAAATTTAAAGTTAGAAAAACAAAAGCAGAACGGAGTTATTCAATACCCGCTTTGCTTGTCACACTATATTGTAATATATTATTTAAACTATATTCTATAATATAATGCTGTATGGAATGTTATATAATGTTTAGTAAAATATTGTAAAAAATTAAGTTTATATGAATCTTTAAATAAACATTTAAAATGAAAACCGTAGATGACCTTTCACTATATCAAATTAAATATTAAATAAAACTAAATTTAATATTAACTAAAAAAATGTTGCAAATCATAAGGTGATTTTTCAAATAAAATAACAACAATATCTTAAAATATTATCATATGCCTAATAAAAAAGTTAAAGCTTAGTTTAAGATTATTCTAGCTTAGAGGTGGGCATTTGGGACCGAGTCCAAAAACCTAATCCAAAAATCTGGTCCAAAAACGGGACTAGGCCCAAGGAGGAGGGCCCGGTCCCTCCACTGGGCCCTCCTCCAGGGTCCGGCCTGGGCCCAAATTTTTTTAAATATTTTCATTTTAGTCCCTTATATAATTACATAAAACCCCTATAAATTTTAAAATAAACATAAATTATAGGGGTTAAAAATAAATTTTATAAAAAAAAAATTTCCAACCCTGAAAAATTCATAAAATTTAAATTTTACCCCTAAAAAATACAAAATATCGTTTCACCCCAAAAATATAAAAAAAAAGATCAGGAGGAAAAAAAAAATTTCAAGCTCATAGGACCAGTTCAGGTCCTAAAATTGCTCATGGGCTTGGGACCGGTCCCAGGCCCATGAGCGACTGGTCCCATTTGGGACTAGTCCCAAAATGACCAGTCCTAAACGGGCCCAGGCCCGAGCCTGCTTGGGACTCGTCCTTGACCAGCTCTATTCTAACTTGTCTCTTAATTGCTTATGACTTATGAGCCAACTTTAGGGAAAAAAAAAATTCAGTTTTAGATTAAATCTATTAGAGTATTTGTTTTTTCCTTAATTTTAAAATCAATTATGCTTTCAGGAGAGAAGATGCAAGAAATGTAAAAAAAAAAAGACCAAAATACGTATTTTTAAATAATTTTTTCTGTTATTAATAAATATTAAAATCTAAGTTTTTTAAATAAAAAGAGTTTAAAATAAAATAAAATAAAAATTGAAAACTTGCTTCTAGTGTCGACCCACTCAATCCCGGTATGTTGGCGCTGATCGGCCACCTTTGATTTTGTTTTCATTAATTTAAATACAAATAAAATCTAAAAAATAGTTTTTTTCAAGGGTATTATTGTAATTGATTCTTGTAAAAGTAGTTTTTGTGAAATCCTTTTAGAAAATAAATTATTTTATAATCACTTTTTAAATTTTAGCTTAGAAAATAAGTGATCAAAGGAAAAGCTACACTAACTCCAAACTCACCCTTCAATTAATAAAATCTACAATACAAAGAATGGCATGTGTTTAGTGATAAAAGAAGACTAAAATGTAGTCATGTGTAAATTATAGGGGTGTTTGGTTCCGGGTACCCTGGAATTTTTTAAGGAACTGGAACCGATGGTTCCTTGAAATTTGGAACCAGAATCGAAACCAACGGTTCCAGTTCCTAGGTATCCAAAACCATAACATATAACAATGGTTCCGGTTCTAGTTCTAGGTCCCTGTAAAATGACAAGGACCCCCCAAAAGTTTTTAAAATGGCAAAAAAACCCTTAAAAACTCCATTATTTTGTAAAGGTAGATTCTCAAAAGTCAAACCAACTTATTTTAAATGTTATGAAATATAAATATAAATGTATTCATATTACTTTTTTTACAAAAGTTTTTATTAACTCCCCTAATCTTTAATTTTATTTTATATTAGTCTCGGTTACTGGTTCCTGGTTCGGGTTCCGGTTCCGTTAGGAACCGAAACCAGAATCGCACAGTAACGGTTCTAAAAATTTAGAACCGAAACCTACCCATTGACGATCGGTTCTGGGTAGGAACCGGAACCAAACCCCAGGTATCTGTCGGTTCCGGTTCTAACAGGTTCTTTTGAACACTATCAAATAAAGCTTTGATTTTACTTGGTATTATCTAGCGTGATATAAACTCAATACTATTTAGTGTTGCCAAACACGTGTTAATTATATTATTTTTATTTAATATACCTCATTTTTATTTATTAATCTGCAAAAGTGCTTTGTCTGGCAAACTCAAGCCATGTTCACAACAAAAAAAAGGTCCTACTTAGTAACCAAAAACTTCTACAACCAATAGAATTTCACAAGTATAACAACTACAAACAATATTACACTAATATTCGGAAGAAATTAAAACATGTTAACTTGAGAGTAAAAGTACTTAAGACAAACACCACACTAATGTCACCCGAGTTTTTACGTTCGTTCTCTCTTTCTATGCAAGTCCATCCGTCCTCTCAAGAATAGAGAAAAATCAAAGGTAATACTAACGTCTTGATTTTGATTTTTATTGAAGAATCAATTCGTCAAATTTTTTACTTGGGTTAAGTGAAATTAGATGAAGAGAGGATCTAAATCCCTAAAGAAATGATGCTGCATGTAAAGCTTGCAATTGACTTGGGTTTGCATTTAGATAGCCAGAGTTAAGGGCCCAGCTGAACCAGCCCATAATTCCTGGTGAGCCCATCTGCTTTATAGGAACTGTCTATGGCACCAGCAAGCAGCAGAGCAGCAACATAATAAAATAGAGGTAAACTTCGATTTTTGGTTTTATTTAAATGATATTTAATTTCTCTCTGTTTAAATGTACAGAAAATCAGAAATAGATAATATATCCAGCAGAATCTGCTAAATTACCCTAAAATTTAATAACAACTCATTTTTAAATAAAAAGATAAACTATCTAATAAAAATAAAAATAAAATGAAATAACACAAGTACTAAATAAAAAAGGATTAAAAATTTTCTTTTAAAGATTTTGAAAAAAATTAAGAATACTTAAAAAAAATACTACAAAAACCTTAAAAAAAAAAAAGAAGTTAAAATCTGAAAGGTATTTGCCAAATTCAAATTTGAGTCAATCATTTTAATGATAGCTTTTAATGCAGCAATTACATGGTTATGATAACACATATCTTTAACCATAGATGTCATTTAATGATTTAAAAGAAAGTAAATTGATTTTTAAATTAAAATATTTTGTAAAATAAAAAAAATAATACAAGTATAATTTATCATTGTTGATATAAATACAGTTAATTGAAGCATATAAAACATGTGATGTTTTATCCTTAATTAATCTACCATTTAGTCACGAGGTGACACATCAAATAAATAGCTTATGACATAAGGATACATTTGTAATTTTTTAATATGGTAGGTGTCCAATTTTCTTGTGAATATGACTTTTTATATTAAAATTTAAAAGTTTTTTTTTTTAAAATTCATCTGTATACAACTTTGCAATTGTATGTCCAGAGAAGGGCATTAACGTAAAAGAAAAAGAAAGTTACCGTTGGAATCTACATATATGAGCCAAACATTCTTCAAGACCCATTTGAAATCAAACGCAAGAGAACTGTCTGTAAAGGCCGAGAAAATCAAGAAGCAAAGCAAGAAAGATAGATTGTACCCTGTCTCGTACTTGTGAGTTATTTCTCTCAAACCTCTGAAATTTCTTATTTCTTCTAACCTTTCGTTCGAC